TTTTTGTTTATTTGATAAGATTGAATAAACAATTGGGGCTATTTTAATAGTTTTATAACTTGTGGGATTTTTATGTTTATCAGAAAATATACAACACAAAAATTTCATATCGCATGTCCAAACAAAACTTCAATTTCATCTCATGATTCCATATCATGATACCATATCGCATGGCCAAACGGGCCCTTAGTGTCATTAATCATATAATATTTTGTGTTATTTTCTTAAGAAACAACTTAGATAGTTGCATTTTGGTAGGACTAAAGAAATATTTGAAGTACAAGTAAATTATATTATGAATACTTTACCGAAAAAGCTCGAAAATCCAAAAAATCCGAAGTTGAAAAACTCGAGTTTTATTGGTTTGATATTTGGAAAATCCGAACCAACCCGGTCATGTACACCCCTACTCATTTACGTGACTTCATAGTTATATTTTGGTTGTTATTTACTTAAATTTTTACCTTCAAGTACGATAGTTTTAAATTTTTGTCATTCAGTTATTAAGTAGACACTAAAGTGTCCGGAAATAGGATCGACATCAAAATAACAAATAATTTTCCGCTGATCAAAAGTACATGTTTTTATATCATAATATACCATAAGTTATATCATAAAAGTCATATAATTCTATAAAACTTCTGCCGAATGAGATAAAAATTATTTTTCGAACCCACAAATTATATCGTAAAAGGCATAACAGGTAATGTTATATAACATAACTTCATTTCTACGAAACTTATGTTGAGTGAGGCATAAATTCTCTAAACTTGTGCGGAATGAATCTAGTCATAAATAAAGTATTTTGGTCATAAATTTTTAGTAAACAGGCAGCATAGGTAAAAATTAAAAAATCGTTGATTTTAAAGACATAAATTAAAGGTCACTCCAAAATATGATTGGATCTTTACAAAATTAGACTTCATATATTCTAGCTCAGTTGGGCTAATTCTTGAAATACTAATACTATAATGCAAGAAAGAATTATTGATATTCCTGTCATGGAAAGGGCCTTCTAAAATATAATGGCGCTTCAAGGACTTCAATAGGCATAATAAACATGTAATATGATGTTAGTAAATTTACGAACACTAATCGAATTAGTTAACTGATTGACATAGAAACGAGTTTTAAAATAAAGTTTAGTGTAATATAAAATGAATAAGATTGACGGTGATTATAAAATATGATCATCCATTCGACGGTTCACAATATAGACATCAACAGTGGGTCCTACCATTGGATACTCAATCCAAACAGCCCCAAAGTAAAGTCAGCTATCTAGGGTTTCAAACCCAAAACCTTACATTAGTGCTTCTCCTCAAAAAAAAAAAAAACACCCATTTATCCAACCTATCAGATTCTTCAATCCATCTTCTGGGTCTTCAAGATTCAATCAGAAAACTCTAAATTCTGCACTAAAGGTGGAAACTTTATACCTGTAAGTAGCTATTTCTGTTCTCATTTCTGATTCTTGATTTACACAGCACAAAGAAGTATAGTGATATATTAGTTTATTCTGGCTCATTAGTAATAAAGATTGAATCTTTATACAAGTTACTGTTAGGATTATTACATGGGGAAATCAGGTGGTAGGAAAAAGAAGGCGGGTGTTAGTCAAAATCAAAACCAGAACCAAGGGGCTGTTGGGAATAGCCATACACCTGTTGTTAATGGTAGTGTTGATTTGGACTCATCAATTTTCTCAAAAAGAGCCCATGAGCTGAAGGAAGAAGGAAACAAAAGGTTTCAGGCTAAGGATTATGTGGGTGCCCTGGAGCAATATGAGAATGCTCTCAAACTTACACCAAAGACACACCCTGATAGAGCTGTTTTTCATAGCAATAGGGCAGCCTGTTTGATGCAAATGAAGCCCATAGACTATGATTCTGTTATTTCTGAATGTACTATGGCACTTCTGGTTCAGCCCTCTTATGTTCGGGCCCTTCTACGAAGGGCTCGTGCATTTGAGGCTGTGAGGAAGTATGAAATGGCGATGCAAGATGTCCAGATACTATTGGGTGCTGATCCAAATCACCGAGATGCTTTGGAGATTGCTGGACGATTGAGGATGGCACTTGGTCCTCGTCCAGAGGCCCAGCAGGACCTCCAAAGCCGCCCATCTCCAGCTGCACTTGGTGCTTCTGCAGTGGGTGCAGCTCCTATTGCTGGCTTAGGGCCATGCTTACCTGCTCGGCCAATGTCTAAGAAGCCAGCACCTTTAGGTGGGGCTTCAGCTATATCAGTTAATAACAAGCCTGAGAAGCCATATCAAGTTACGCCAGCTGAAAATGGTCCTCAAGCCAAAGTTCAGTTACCAAAGGTTATTTTGAAGCCTGCAAATGGTCCTTCCAGACCACATGCTGATCTCAATAAGGATGGCCAAAGAGAGAAGGCATCTTCATCAGCATCTAGTGTTGTTCATGGACATTCTAAAGATGTTGCCATTCGTTGGAGGCCATTGAAGCTTGTTTATGATCATGATATAAGGCTTGCCCAGATGCCTGTGACTTGCAGTTTTAAAGTGTTGAGGGATATTGTTGGCAAACGGTTCCCTATGTCAAAATCTGTTCTTGTTAAATATAAGGACAGTGATGGTGATTTAGTAACTATTACCTGTACGGCTGAACTTAGATCGGCAGAGTCTTGGGTTGATGGTTTACTGCCAAAAGACCCTGATGCAGATAAAACCGACGCCATTGGGATGTTAAGGTTGCACGTCGTTGAGGTGAGTCCTGAACAAGAGCCAGCCTTGTTGGAAGAGGAAGAGGAGAAGCCTGTCGAGAGCGAAGGGAGCAAAGGGGATGATAGTGGATCCCATTCTTCAATAAGTGATTCGGTGGTTGAAACTGTGGATAATGAGAGCAATAAGGCAGAGAAGGTAACTATCAAAGAGAAAGCGGCTACAACCGAAAATCCTGACTGCAAAGAGGTTGAAATGGATGACTGGCTTTTCGAGTTTGCTCAGTTATTCAGGACCCATGTAGGCATCGATCCAGATGCTCACATTGATCTGCATGAGCTTGGGATGGAGCTTTGCTCTGAAGCCCTTGAGGAAACTGTGACAAGTGAAGAGGCTCAAGTTCTTTTCGACAAGGCTGCCTTAAAATTTCAGGAGGTTGCAGCTCTTGCTTTCTTCAACTGGGGAAATGTTCACATGTGCTCAGCAAGGAAAAGAATTCCAATCGATGATTCTGCTTCAAAGGAGATGATGGCTACACAACTCCAAGCAGCATATGACTGGGTGAAAGAAAAATATTCTCTGGCCAAAGAGAAGTATGAGGAGGCACTCTTAATCAAACCAGACTTTTATGAGGGGTTACTGGCATTGGGGCAGCAGCAATTTGAAATGGCAAAACTTTACTGGTCCTTTATCTTGGCTAAGAAAGAGGACCTATCAAATTGGGATCCTACTGAGACTCTTGCACTCTTTGACAGTGCAGAATTAAAAATGAAAGCTGCAACAGAAATGTGGGAGAAAATTGAAGAGCAGAGAGCTAATGAGCTAAAGGATCCTAGCGCCAGCAAGAAGGATGAATTATTAAGGAGAAGGAAGAAGCAAACAAGTGGTCCTGAAGGTGAGGCGTCAGCTGCTGGTGGTCCAGCTGAAATTTCAGCTGACGAGGCCGCAGAGCAAGCTGCTGTTATGAGATCGCAGATCCATTTATTTTGGGGTAATATGCTCTTTGAGCGCTCTCAAGTTGAATGCAAGTTGGCTTTGGCTGGTTGGAAGAAAAACCTTGATACAGCAGTTGAGCGATTCAAGCTTGCTGGAGCTTCTGAAAGTGACATCTCAACAGTTTTGAAGAACCATTGTTCCAATGAGGAAGCTGCAGAGGGATCTAAGCAAATGGTTGAGAGCTTGAACACTGATGAAGGTGCAAATCATAAGAATGATGCTAGTCAAGCTTAGGGCAGTGACCTGCTTTCAGTTTTATTGGATTGTGCTGCCCATCACCTGCATTAGCATTTTTTTCATGCATGTGTCTGAAATGGAGCGACGGAAAGTTCACTTTTAGAAGAGTAGGTATCAGGAAGCTTATCTTCTCAATGCTGGTGGAAAACTGGCATCACAATGTGCTCTCTCTGAAGGTTCTGGCTTATGTATGTGTGCCAACAAGTTCTGATCGTCAGCCTGACACTAATTTTTCTATATGGAGTTTGCTTTCTGAAATTTTTTTATTGATGCGATTAGTATTTTTAGCCTCCGCAAATTAACATTTAATTCTGCAGTTATATTGTGATAGAAACAGTTCACGGTTTGAAACCATTAGCGATCTGTGTTTTCAGCAGGCATTTGCTCTTAAGCTGTAGCTTATCCAACATTTATTCGTGAAGAGAGAACCACGGAATGTAATTTCATGCTACTTTCTCGCCTTTTTGGTCTTGTTTGGAGGTTGTAATTTCAGATTTCTATGTGGAAGAAGAGAAATGTCATTGTTGCTAGCATTTCAGGCTGTTGAAATGTAGATGCTAATGGTTGAATTTCTGATTGATGGCAGTTTCATTTGCTGTTGTTGCTTAGTTGATGTCTGAACTCTTTTATCAAGTGTGGTGTTGTTGCTATTGGATACTATTCCATTGAAGATTAACCTTTCCACATAACAGCGACTCATATTTTGAAATTTTGCACTTGCAATTTTTTATTACATGCCTGAAATGTAGCAGCAGCATGCTTCTACATTTCATAGCAAGTGTTAGTATAAGAATTCAATATCACCAGAGTTTCTGGTGACTCTCATACCATTATTTTGAATTTCAGCCGAGAGAATCAGAACTTAAAAGACTTCAATTTGCCAGAACTTTATTTGTCTTCTTTTATCAAAACAGAGCTTTTGAGAAATGGTGGCGCTGCAGTGGGTCTCTCTAGTTCTTTTAGAAATTTAGATGTTACGAAATGTGCATTTAACAAAATATGATACTGTAGATAAATATTAAGTAGTTGACCTTTTTCACTTTCGCAAAGCACCCCACTCAAATAAGTGGACCTCTTCAATTTATGCTACATATCATCCCATACTCTAAAAGTAGTGCATCCATATATAATTCAGGTTTAATAGCACTTCTATGTTTTCCCCATCCCTTTTCATTGGGGAATCTAAGGTGGTAATTGGTGTACACATAATTGTCAATGACTCAACAGATAATGCAGAGGGAAAAAAAAAGGTGAAACAGAGCAGTTGAGTATCGATACTATTACTTGTGTCTTTTCCTATTAACATCAGAGTTGTTTTGGTGTTCAATTGAGAATCCCTGGAAAATGACAGTCATGATAAAAAGAAATAAATAATTTGAGGTGTTCAAGTTTGCTATGTCATCCAAATTCCTTTTTCAACAAAGTTTTAGTCCTTTTCTGATTTTTATATTAGTTGTGCTGTAACACATTCCCTTTTAGATAAATGCGTTTAAAGTAACTTATACACACTGATAATATACAAACATGCCTCGCGAACATGCAATTTTAACTTTTAGCCGTTGTAACATGTCATTTATATGTTTTGCATGTTACCAATCCATGTCTAGTATGAAAAGTTATTCATAATTCTCTTTTAGTGTAATTTTTCTTTATCTTGTTAGTGTATATTAATTAAACTCAAACGTGTAGTATGTCATACACAGAGTTTTCTTTTTGCAAGCATAGATTTCATTAAAGTAAAATAGGAAACTTTACAATATACCCCATAGAGAACAACCTCAACAAGCTCACTACCATACAAGAGACAATGACACATCAAGTAACATAAGTTACTTAGAAGCCTTAGTAAATTATTAACTAAAAGGACAACACAACTATAGAAACCTAAACTTCTTTAATCCTCTTAATTAGTGTCCTATTAATACATAAACAAATTCCCCCCTCAAAACATTATCAAACAGTTTCTATTGGACCTAAGTTGACAGTAGTCTCCACAGCCTTCATTGCTTCAAACCTAGGCTCCTTAGCCTGAAATTTGAGACCTGCATACAACTTCATATAATCTTCAAACACAAATTTTGGATACTTCAATTTGTTCTCTTCTTCTGTCTTCTCAATCAACTCTGGTGCTGGAAATATGACAGCATCACTTCCTGGATTATAAAAGGAAGCTATTGACATCCTAGTGCCATCTTGTTGAGCAATCACTCTGTGTTCAATACTCTTGTATGTTCCATTAGTAATCACCTTTAATCATTCAAACAAAATCAGTACTACCCTAGAAAATAAGGCAGATTACCTGCTACAATAACACGTTAAAATAAATACATACCTCAAGCTGATCGCCGAGGTTGATGACAATAGAGTGTTTCATAGGAGGTACATCAATCCAACTGCCATCTTTTAGCAATTGGAGACCACTGACTTTGTCATCTTGGAAAAGCAGGATGATGCCACCAGCATCAGTGTGAGCGCGAAGGCCTTTGATCAAGTCCGGCTTGGGACAAGGAGGATAGTTGCTAACTTTGGTGCCAAAAGTTGAACCCTTTGAGCCATAAAATGCTTTTTTCAAATAACCTTTCTCTAGTCCAAGATTCTCACACAGCAAATCCAAAAGATTTTCAGCTAGTTTCTCTAGCTTCAGTGCAAAATCTTTCATAACTTTCCTGTCATGAGGTTAGAGGTTATATAAAGTTAGTATAACAAACAGAGCTACTAATCAAGTCTCAAGACTAAGGATAAGTTAAATTATCTGATCAACAGTAAAGCTTGTCAATTTATAAGTGACAAGTTGAACTGATACAAATCCCAGATATTTGGAGCCAGCTAGCATAGGTTCTGTTTATATGAAAGGATAAAAATTGGATCTTTTTTGTTTTATAAACCTGTATTCATCATCCAGGTCAGGAACTTCATACACATTGGAAACAGGGAGATGCTTCAAGAAGAAAGTGCTCTCCCAATCAAGATCATCAATTTCAGTTTGGACAGCTTCAAGTCCTTTACTTGCCACCATTTCTTTAAACCTTTGTTCCATGCACTTCTTGTAATGCCCCTTAGTTAAATTCTCCACTGTGTCCAGCAATTCATGAGAAATCCCATGATTCACAACCTTTGATATATCACAAAACAGACAAAAAAAAAAGGGTCAGAAATCAAGAAAGTTAACTTTTTTATTTCTTCAAGATCTTGTATTAGTGTAATATAATGTTACCTCAAAGAAACCCCAGTTTTCACATGCATCTTTGATTTTGTCCATTGCTTCAGGCCTTTTCTCAGTTTGAAGCAACCCCATATCCACAACTGGGAAATTACTCTCCATTTTTCTGTTTTTCTTCTCACTTGGCTGACTCTCTAGTTTGCTTGTGTTTGGTATCTGTTTATGTGGTGAGTGATAAAGTAATATACTAGAGAGGGGTATTTATAGGCTTTTGAAAGGGGTAGGATAACTGATGAAATTGATAAAGGATAGGGTGAATTTAATTTAAAAAAATTGGCATGCAAATAAAAAATAAAATCTAAAGCAAATAAAGGGAATGTGAGAAGTTGCCTGGAGATTAGTTTCAAATCTTAACACAAATTAGAAAATATGTTGATTCTTTGTCAGTTTGTCTAATTACTAGTAAATAGAGTTAGGGCGGTTTGGATTGACTTTTGGCTTATGACTTATCCTAGCTTATAACTTTTGGCTTATTTTTGTAAATAAGTGCTTATAAGCATTTTTTAACTTTATTCAAACATTTCAAAATTACTTAAAAACTATTTTAACTTAAAAATACCTAAAATAAGTCAATTCAAACGGACACTTACTTGCTAGGTGTACTGATAAGTCAGAAAAAGCAGATGTAGGGTGTTAGTCATGAGTCCATCTAAGTACATTGGCTTTGGTTCAAATTTTGAAAAATTATTAAATAATCGATACAATTCAAATCGTATGTAATAATGTGAAATAATTGAAATACGTGCAAAGCTAATCCAATAAGTTGCAATTTTTTTATAAAAGAAGTGAGAAGTGGGAACAGGAGTGGTGGATGATGTATGTGTGTACATACTGATGGACCCCTACCAAGTTTGGAAGAATGTTTTGTAGCCATGGCAATGGGCAATTTCTCTCTTTTGGTGGGGTAACTATTAAGTAAGTTGCACCTAATAATAAGTGTTCCTTTTATTTTCTGCTACTTTTTCCCATCATCTCCCGCTTGTTCTAGTTAAAGCTTTTATTTTAGATAATAGTATTGTACAAAATTACTTTACGTCAAAAGAGTCTCTAACCCCTCTCTTTGACAAAGTAGAGATAAGGTATTAGGTATGCATACATTTTACCTGTTTCATACCTTATTATATCAAATATATATTGCAGATGAATTAGGTATACAACTTAATTAGTACTTGTAGAAGTGTCATCTTGACATGGTCCATAAAAAGGAAAAGATGCTCCATTTCTTAAAATACTAGTATTAAATAGTAAAGAAAAATAAAAATGTGGTCATTGATAGGCTAATGAGCAAAAGGAATTCCTTTAATAAAATATTAAAGTTAATGTTGTTGTGTTATACTATTAAGAAGCTCTTAGATTCATCTTTACGTAATTAAATCCTAATCGAAAGCATTAGATGCAAAAAAGGTAATGTCGGCATTGGAAATCCACCTGAGATATATATTTTTAAAAGAAGTGAGATTAATTAGCCTAATTTTGCAAGCCCCGCCGCCTAAAAAGTTGAGATTTTGGAATCAAATGACAACTTTCACAACAAAAAAAGATCCATAATATAATCATAGTATAAGTGCGATGCAAATTCTCCAAGTAATTATCTCTGCATGTTCTAATTTATTTGACATTATTTATATTTCAATTGTTTTTAATTGTAATGGTAGAATGGAACACATGATTTAATGCTTTTTTAAAATAAAAAGAACTACATTCGTTCATTTTTATTGTGTGAGACTCAATACTGTACATCAATTAATATAAATATTATAATAAAATGTTCATGTTAATTATTGTTTTTAAGAGACGTGTAAAATTCAAAGTTATATAAAAAAAAAAATATTATAAATCACAATAACTAACATTCGAGATATAAAAACTCGTTTAACTTTTAAAATTTAAATGATGTCACACATATTGAGATAGAGAGTTATAAATTCTTACCTACTGAGAAATTGTCATTGATGACACGGTAGAAGATTTGAACTTCACCTATAGTTTTGGAAATTTTTTCACGCCATTAAAACTTTGTTGACGAACAACATTGAATAGACAGTACCGTACACGTACAAAATGCATATTCACAATTTTAAGTTGATACTCTATCTGTTCATTTTTAATTGTCATGTTGCGTTTTTTAAAAGTCTATTAGACTAATTTTTAAAGTTAAATTAGATAATATTAATTCGATATTTTAAACAAAAATTTAGATATTCAAAAACTATACGAAAAGTACTAAAAATTCCATTTTTTTTGCATATCAATATAATGAAAAAATTCATCGTAAAATGTTAGTCAAATTTATTATTGTTTGACTCTAAAAAAAGGAAATTATGACAATTAAAAGTGGGCAAAGATATTATATATAAGTTAGTTCCTCCATTTTACTCTCTCTATATATATGGTAATTGATATATGAAAATAAATGAGTATTTGCGGATA